GTTAGTAGTGATATACAATGAGCATAATTTCATCCACATGACTTATCTGTAATAAGGACACATAGAACCTTTCCATGGGCCATAAATCATAATTCATATATATACATGTATTGGCCAATTCCACTTTTACTTACAAGACTTACTATGATAATAATTCATATCTTCACCGGCATATTCCCATCATTCTTTCATATTTTTATTCTTTTTGATATTTTTGGTCAGACAAGAACAATCCCATATAATGACCTTGACTTAACTAAAAGCCTTTTGCCCATTTTTCAGTCTGTTCCTCCAGATCTGTCTATCTGCAGGTTCCTGTTGGAGCAGGCAGTTTCTGTTCGAGCTTTACAGGAGCTGGTGACAGCAGAGTCTGTAGAGACAGTGTAAGGCTTATTCTTCTTACCTCAACAGTCACATCGTAATGCATTATTGTAAATGTATTTCCTCATATTGTTGTCATTTTGCTTAAATATGTGTAAGCAGTATGCCTAAACATTACAACTGACCACAGAAATAAATATAATATAAAATAAAAATGTTTACTAATAGGCCTTCCACTTACTTCTGCTGGGCTGTAATTTTTGGAGAGTACAGGGTCTATGATATGTTTTAGTTTGAACACCATTTGCTGCCATATTAAAGATTCCATATAGTTACTTCCTAGTTTCTGACCATGGCCATGCCAGGTTTATTCCTCCTGTTTTGCCCAAATTAAGAAAAGAATTACCTACATTTGTACTACCTCAATTCCATGTCACGCGAGTGTTTTTTCTCCTTGTTTGTAATAGCTGAGACTGAATTATTTAGAAGAAAACAATTCCTCAGTAACAAAAGTCCAAAATTTTTCATAAATTTGAAAATTAAAATTTGAATATATAAATATTTTATTTGAATTCATTTAGTTATTTCTGAAACATTTTGAAAGTGGCTGTACATACAATGACATGTAATGTACATGTATCTTAGATTTGCTTGTAACATCAAGATAAAGATATATTCAAGATCAGTATATGATAGCCAGATACTGCTTAGAAGTCTATCTGTACAGATAAAGATGTGCATGGGATTCCATGACATTCCTTCTTACTGAATCATAGGGCAAAGTGGATCACACAAGTTAAAAGAGTCAATGTCTATCAATGACTATTTGTTTATTTTTTTGGAGCAGCCTGCTGCTTCACAGAACCACAGAACACTGCTGTATGGTCATGCTGTGCTCCTCAGACACATGCACAGCAACATGGTGAGTCTGATTATCTAATCATTTCTGGATGTACCCTTCCCCTGAATTTTCCTATAATCAATGTAGACTTGGAAGAAATAATCTTACAGTATAGACTGTTAAGAGTAAATAAGCCTCTTATTTTAACATATTATATCCGGTTTTAACCTCAACAGTATTTTGTTGTTTTCCTTGCTACTTGATGCACCAGAAAGTACTTTCTATATACATGTAGTATGTTAACTGAATGTGTATTGCTACAAGTCAGTCCTGTGTTTATAATGGGGTCTTTTCAAATAATGTACATGTAACTTACATACATGTATGTTGACAAGACCGTTTAAGCTTCATTTGTCGTAATTATTAAAATTCATAATAGTCTTATTATGTTTACCGAAGGAAAACATATTATATTTGCTCATTTCCTCCTCCTCTTCCTCTTCTCCAAACACCTAAAAATCGTAGATATTTTCGTAATTAGAGCCTGGAGGAAAATGAAATTCAGCATGCTAGTAGGTTGATACGTTAGACATTGAACCTTGGTCATTTTGGCCAACATAGATGTCAGAAAATGATTTTATTGGCAAAAAATGGGTAAAAAAAGTTGCATTTTAAGCCAAAAATCGAACAAAAAGAACGCGTTTGGAACATTCGAACAACCATGGAACAATGGAACAGCGTGTTCGATAACCGCGGGTCATTGACCCTAGCGCTACGCACGGAACACCCGAGCTTTCCAAATATGGGCATCCGCCCTTGTATGACACGAGAAGACATCAGTGGACCAATGTAGCGGTAAGTTTTCATTTTTCTTCGTAAAATACGGTCATATGAATACCAGTCTCGAGTAGAGAATATTGCATTGGGATTTTGGGTTCAATATCCACAATTAGGACTGCAGATTTCCACAGAATGTGGGAGACTTTGTTTAACTTTTTGCATGTCATCGCCGGCTCAAAAAAAAAAAACACTAGCAATTAACTAGCCGGCTCAAATCTAAAAATAAAGCTCTAGTAATTTACTAGCTCCTGACTTGATAGAATCTCGTATGTTTAGCGATTTAGGCTTGTTGCTGTTTTGAAAATAAATTAAACAGAATTGTGTTCATCCGTAACTATTGTCGACTTTGTAATTATGTAGGTGCGGGGCAGGGGGAGGGGGGGGCGTTTGTTTACGTTTATTACTCATGATATAACAATTAACATGGATACTACATGTAGTATAACATTACATTTTGTCGTTTTGTCAAACAGTTTCAATCTTTTTTCGGGATAACACAGTACAGTACACGGGATAAGCATCAAATCGGGATTCATGGCGATATCCCGCGGGATTTTTCGGGAACCATGTTGACTAAGATTTTTACAGACAGACGGTGCAGCGCATGTTTGTTTCCAAATTATGCATGATGATAACAGTAGCACAAACGAATAGTGTTTTTTATCAAATGTTTTTTTAATATCGAAAATTTTAGTGGCTTAATAATGTTTAGAACGATAACAAAATAATACAACCGTCTTGGTACGAGAATTTTTGTCTGACCTTGCGATGTGGACGGCCCGCTAAGTACTGCTTTTGATGTCACCCGACCCGCGCTATCTCAGATATAAAATCTAACACAGCCACTCGAGAAGTTCTTCTCCTAGATATGGGAGGTCGACGCACGGAGTTGCGGAAGAAAGATTAAACATTATACAAAAGAGGGGGCGAAGCATAATTCAAAGGTTCTTTACGCCCTTGGCTTTGTTTCCGACGATCAAGAATTGATTTCGTGTTACTGTGACTGGGCAACGTTGCCATAGAAACGGCACGCAGGATAGCTAGCAGACCGCGGGCACCCAATCATAGTGCACAGACGGGGACCCGCCCACTGGCTGGGCGGTAAGATTTCAAACTCAAAGGCTCGGTGCTCCGCCCCGCCCCAAAGACTAGAGGCCGCCTCACGATTGTAGCGATTTTCCGCCTCAGTCCTGCACGCGGCATTCTATTTTTCTCATCCCGATTTCATTCCAAAACGTTTTTCACAAGATATCGAGAACTAGAATGCTTTTTCCACCAGAAGAATTTTTACCAGCCGCGTGGAAGTACTTGCTTTCAGGGTAATACGTACGTGAATGGACGTAGCCGGATCGGTTGTTGACGCAAGGGTTTATTTATGTGTACGTGTTTGGGGACGGGTGAGACGCACGCCCCGGGATTTTGATGGGCAAACTTTCCTAATTTTCGTAATACAGAGACTACTTGACGCTCACGAGATGTCACAATGAAACACAACAACTCCAGCCGGTACGCCCCATTTTATTTGATGGTTTAACTTTATAAACTTGACAGATTGATTGTTTATAAACTTGCCGAAAAATTCACTGGAGACGAAGGGGTTACTACAAATTCATTCATTTTCTTACAGTTTTTGTAAGTTTTTCGCTGCACAAAAGCTTTGTAAAAATTTAGCAGTTCAACTATGACCGCTTGAGGAACGCGTTATACACAATATACACAATTATGGCAAAGTTGACTGACGTCAGGGTGCTCCATTGGCCGGAAGCAGGACATTTCGACGCCGTCATCCGTGATAGGACCCGCAGTAGACTTGGAGATCTCGCATCAAGTTTTTTTCGCTCCGCAGGAGACGCGGATATCTCGCGGGATTTATTGGGACGCCTATCCCGAAAAATTCCACATCCCGATGATGCATATCCTGTGAAGTTATCTCTCATAATAAGGATAATTGCCTATAGGAATTTGACAGAAGAATAAATAGTGTTGGGGCTTCAATGTATATGAAGAAATATGTGAACGTCTGGTTTCACTAAATTTGTAACTTGAGTCTTATGCTTGCGTTGTTATTCTTCAATTGCATACAGACAACAGTGTTCTCTGTATTAACAAATTGGTCTGCTGTAAAATTTGAATATATATCATATAACCCCTTTGACATATATTATATACCCTCTTGGACCCCGCCTGATATAGTTATACGTTATATACATATGTATTATGCTTTCCTTTTGTGGTTCAATGACTTAGACATATATTATCAGTTTCTGCTCACTTTTGAAATGTTTACTCTCCTTTTTGTATCCTCTTAAGATTGGACCTCTGCTAGGAAAGGAAGCAGAACTTGGTCCATGAGAAACTGGAGAGGAACCCAACAGAGCTGAACCCAGCCATCCACAGAAGGATACAACACATCACAACCATTTCTAGAAACACATTATATCTCCAATTTAGCCAGTAAATATGTATGTTAAGTTGCATAATATATGTACATGTAAGTCATGTATAGCTTTTTAAGTATGTATGTGTGGTTTTATAGAGTTTGTAGTTCCAATATTTTACACAACTGTAGATTTTCATCATCATTGCAATGATTTTCATATAAAAGTTCAAAGAACACTTATTATAGAAGCGGGTATAATTCACTGGCTCGGCAATCAAAAGAACAAGTAAAACCCAACAAAACTGGCTTGATATATATCTTATGTACTGTAGTATAAAGACTAAAGTGTACTGTAGGAATTAGTTCTTCATATCATTGTATATCATTTCATTATATGTATATGATATACGCACTTACTATGAGCCTTCTGCCATGTATTTGTAATATTACTAATAATAATAAACTTATTGCCTTCGACGAGAAGGCTATGAAATCGCTTTCGGCCTGTTTTGTAGATTATGCACGGTAAAGTTTGAAGGCATGGTCCGAGGTTCACGATTTTTGGCAGGCAGGTTGATTTGGGGGTGGCCATTGTCAAGGCTAAAAATGGGCTTCGTGGGGGGTTCCTAAGTCACTGTAGTTGACCTTGGTTTTTGGTGTTTTTCCTTGTCATCAAGATATCTCGAGTATCCTTAAATGGATGTTCATAATTTTTAGTGGGC